GTACCTGGCAGGCACTCGTGGAATACACACTCCTCAAGCCTGGTCCCTGCGGACCACATTCCTCGGAAGGCGTTTCAGCGAAGAGTGCAAGTTGGGGGGCTGGAGTCAGAACCAGCGGCAAAGCCCAGGTCTACCCAGGGAACTGGGCGACTTCAGGCAGGTGGCTCCCCCTTCTCGGCCCTGGTTTCCTCGTCTGCTAACGTGTCGATGCTAAGAGCCGCGCTCCCTGGGCAGATCCCCAAAAGCACGAAGCTCGTCGAAGGCAACCATGATGATCCCATCGAGTGTGCAGGGAGCATGGATGGGGTGCCAGGCCCAGGGCTCAGCATTTCACAGGAATTCACTCTTCTGCCCGACCATTATTGCACCCGTGGAACAGAAGAAGGGACAAGGCATCGCGCTGCCCAACACGACATGCGGCTGCCCGAGGAGCAGGGCCTGGGCTGCTGGCCCCGGGCGGGACCCGTGTGGGCCTGTCCCTGTTCTGCACGGGAGCCCCGAGCCAGCAGCCTGGCCTGCGGCGAGGGTTCGGCCCCCACCGGCACCACGGGGACAGCCCCCTTGTCAGCTGACTAGCCCTCCACTCGGGGAGCCAGAACGCGTCAGCACCCCTCCATTCGTGCCTCTTCTCTCCCACCCGCCCCTGGAGCGCAGAGCACCGCCTGTGTGGCTTGGGAGCAGCTGCCTTTCCTCTTGCCTTCTGTACAAAGGGAAAGACAAGTAGACGCCAGCCCTCCTTCCCACAGCGTCCTGTGGATGAGACAATGCTCCCCAGTTGGCTCCCGATGAGCCACAGCCACCTGTGGCTCAGAGAAGCCCGGAGCGTTTATGGGCTTCTCCCCCACACAGGCACGCTCTGTGCTGCTCCCCAGGGGCACTAAAAGGAAGGCGCAGCTGGAGGGAGAGGGAGGTCTTCCTCCTGGGTGGTCTCAGGAGGGACTTGGAGACCCACTGAGCAGGAGGCTCCCCTCGCACCAGACATCAGGCTTCTCAAAGAAGATCTGTGACGTCTGTGCCTCACTAGGATGGAAGCAAGCTCACCAGCATAACTACCATCAACACGCCCATTGTATGGGTGTGAAAACTGGGGTCTCTTGAGAGGGGACAGGCTCCATATTCCAGCAGCCACCTAGTGGCTGCAAGATGCTGCTAGGGTCTGGACAAGGATTAGACGCTGTACCTGACTCGGTGCCCCTTTCTCCTTTCCTCCCAGAGCGGGCACTGGGGGCCGGGCAGGGGTGCCACCGCCCTGGAACTCGGCTTGCCCAGGTGCTGTAGGAGGCAGCGGGGCTCACTGAGTTTAGGCGAATGCCAGCAGGAGCCCCTGGGGCAGGGGCCCGACTGCTTCTACAAAAAACACAGCCGTGGTGTGCCAGCAAACACAGCCCCAAATGCATGGACTCCCCAACAGGCTCTGCTGGTCTTTCACGGGTGCAGGCATTTAACATGATGGTGTGCTCAGCCTGAGCATCATCTTATTAGCAGGTACCCCAAAACACGGGGCATGACTCTGCCAGCATGTCAGCACTTGGCCAGGCCCCAAGTTACTCAGGGAGCTCGTGAGAAAAGGCAGCTTCCTGGGCCCAATCCTCAGGGACTCAGCATCAGTGAGTGGGTCTGGGGTGGGACCTGGGAATCAGTTAAGTTCAACATGCCTCCCAGGGGATTCTGAGGGACGCCGGGGTCAGAGGGAAAGCAACTGCATAGCCTGGAGCCCACGGTTTCAGAAACGCTGGGCTCACTTGCTTCTTACCTCATTCCCACAAAGATCCCGAAATTCATACCCCCCCAGTTAGCCATTGTACCCTTTATCCTTCTCTGATGGTCTGAGTGGGTGGTCCTTCCCTGACCCAGGCCACCAGGCCAAACTTGCTTCCTGGGCATGCACAGTGCCTGGACAGAGCAGCCAAATCCCTGGATGGTGGCATCCATGCCCAGCTCTGGGCGCCCCGTCTGGGAGGGGGCGGGAGGGGAGGAGACAGGTCCTGAGTCACACGTACAGCTTCTGATCCTTGCCCGGACCCTGGGCAGCATCTTACGAGCACTAGGCTATCCTCCCCATAGGTGAAGAGGGGTCCCCAGGTGGCTGCCAGAACATGCAGCCGCACACCTGTCAGGGGCCTCCTGTCCCGTGAGGATCTTACTGGTAGCATCTGCCTTGTGGCTCCATGGTGGGAATTACAAGAGATCATGGCATAAAGCACTGACTCTGGGCTCAGTGGTTGCTCCGAGTTGAACAATTAAACTCTTCACTTGCATGAGCTCATCTGATCCTTCACCACCACCCTGGAAGGTGGAAACTATTATTAACCCCACTTTCCAGATGAGGGACATTAAGTGACTCACCCTGGATCATGTGGGTAGAAACAGCAGAGGTGAGGTTTGAACCTGATGAGTCTGGCCTCCTGGGCCCAAGCTTTAACCATCAGGCTGTGCCATCTCCATGAGCGCCAAGCCTCACCTGCATTCTGGGGGGAGCAGGAGCTGGAGGAAATAAGGGCACAAAGCCCCAGACTTCGGGGGAGAAAGGCGATGCCAAGCCTGACACTAGAGGAACTGGGCTGAGTGTCACTTAAGAGAAAAACCAAACTTGGGCCACCCCAAGCCAGCAGGGCAGACAGGGCAGAGAAGCACAGGACCCATCAAGGTCAAGCTGGAAGATCTAGACAATATCTGCAAGTCCAGGGAAATGGCCACTCTGAAGAGAGGAGTCCAATCTACCGCAGCCCCATTTTTACTTCATCTCCAGTATGTTCCTTAGGAGCTTGTAAGTAAAAAAGAAGAGTTGAATGACTCTATTGTCAAATAAGTTTAGAATTCCTCTATGCTCTATTCCCCAACAGGAAATTCACAACGGACACTTGCAAAATAAAGGTTCCGAGAAGTCCTGCAGAGAAACCTGCTTAGTTTATCCAACCTGGCCTTTCTCACACTTAACTGATCATGAATGCTTCCCTTCCTCCGGGACACCCATCGACACTTCATGGGACACCGTTTGAGAAGTTCTGGCATACAAGAGGGATTGCACACTTTGTCGATAAATAATCGTCCGGAAATAATAAATCTTTTCAACTTTGTGGACCACAGAGTCTCTGTCACGACTACTTAACCCTGCTGTGATAACATAAAAGCAGGCCTAGACAATATGTAAACGAGTGAGTGTGGCTGTGTACTAATAAAACTTTATGGACATCACAACGTGAACTTCATCTTATTTTACGTGTCATGAGATGGCCTTTTTCTTTTGATGTTCCTCCCCCATCTAAAAACGTGAAAAGTATTTTCAGCTCAGGCCACAGAAAAACAGGATGCAGGCTGAATTTGTCCCTTTCAGGAATTTATCCCAGAGCTACACTCAAGTGGACAACGACGTGTGCACTGAGGTTTTCCACTGCAGCCGTGTTTGTAAGAGCAAAGGACCAGAAAACACTGACACGTCCTTCCCAGGGGGCGCGTGGATAAGTCAGGAGGAGGAATAACACCACCACCACCATTAATAATAGAAGCAACAGCCCTGGCTCAGGGCGTGTGTCCTAGGCATCGGGTCTAGACTCAGCCTCTGTTTCCCAACACACGGCCCAGGACCAGCTGCCTCTACGGCAGCCTCCTCCACTCCAGACCTGTTGAATCAGAATCTGCATTTTAACGAGATGCCCGGCCAATTCCTACGCACACTAGGGCACTATTTTAAAACTCCTTCTGTATTAATGCCCCCTATGGCCCTGTGTGTTGGAGATGAGGAGGCTCTGGAAGGTTAGGGAATTTGTCCAAAGCCACACGGCGAATGAGCGGCAAAGCTACACTCACTCCCCACGTATGCAAAAACACAACGGCCCCTGAACAAATAGGGCAGCTTGTCCATGGCTACAAAGGGCCAACCTTCAAGGTTAAGTTGTCAGGTGAAAAAAAAAAAAAGAGCAAGGCAGACAACACCATATATACTATGTCACTACTTGCGGGAGGAATAAAATAAAAGCAAAGCAGAATCTATGTGCAGTTGTTTAAACACCCAGAGGGCATTTCTGAAAAGACAGCCAGGAACATGGAAACAGCGGGTGCCTCTGGGATGGAAGGGAGCAGCTGAGGCAGTGGCCCCGGGGAGGGCTGCACCCTTGCACGCATCTGTAACTTGCCTTTTAAGCCACTGGTAAGTATTACCTATTCTAAAATCAATGTGTTTCTAGTTTGGGGTTTTTTTCCCGAAAGCTGGTGTAAGGAAGAAGCTACCCACTCCAAAGCCATCCCCCACTTAATAAGAAACACGCTTTGGGGGAAGGCGTGTGCGCAAGCAGTCCCACCCCGGTTCCCACTCGCCTTCTGGCCACCCTTGTCAGAGCAGGTGGATGCCCGGCAGAGAGTGAGTGGGAGGCACAGGGGGACGCAGGCCAACAGTGGACTTTCCAAGTATTTGGGACTCAGAACCATATTTGGGGTCACTTGGAAGGGGCTTCAGGCCTTCCTTGCACCAGTGCTGTGGTCCTTAACCAGGGGCAGTTTTGCTTCGCAGGGAACATTTGGTAACATCTGGAGACATTTTTGGGAGATGCTACTGGCACTTAGTAGGTAGAAGCCAGGGATGCTGGTTAGACATCCTGCCATGCACGGGACACACAGGATGTCCTGTGTCTCCAGGTTGGGGTGCCTGGGTCAGCACGTCTCAGATGGTTATGTGTTCAGCCATCACCTGGGGCCCCAGTTAAAGTGCTGGTTCTAACGTAGCAGGCCTGCATTTCCAAGAAGATGCCAACCCTGCTGGTGAGGGCCTCACTCTGTGCAATGAGGCCTCACCCAACTGGGCTATGGCCAACTGTGTAATCTTCTCTTGCAAAGGGGGTAGGCGCTATTTTTGCTTGGGATCAAAAGGCTGGACAGTGAGTACTGGCTGGTGGGGGCTGGGGGGCCCTGTTTTGATGGAAACAAGCATGAGCTTGCTGAGCTCCTATGTGAATCCAGGAACACAGGCTGTGTCGGAACCAGTGGGGTGGTGGCCGGAGACCTACCGTCCAAGGTCTCCACGCAGAGCTGCAGGCCCAGATTGTGCCGTGGGTTGACCACCCAGTGGTTGCTGGTGGCAGTGATGTCGAACACCAGCCAGCCCTCCTCCGAGGCCCAGAGGGTGCGGCTGTCCAGCAGGAACAGGTCTGACTCCCTGCAAGAGAGGAGAGACACAGGCCCCAGGTCAGCAGGCATTCTGCGCATGCCATAACACACTGACGTTTGCCAGTGACCTTCGTGTGTACAAGACTTGTGAGAAGGCACGCAGAAAATAAATCAGTAATTTTAGCCAGTGTCTCAAATTTCCTTGAACACAGAACCCACTGGAGATGTATGGGGAGAGTCATGGGTCCTCAGACAGGCATACACGGGGCTGGAGAACCAGCCTCAGATGGAGCAGGAGCCAAGGCAGGTGTGAGGATGCAGGGCTGTCTCATCAAGCACAGCTGTCAAAGGCAGGAACTTGGGTTCCATTTCTCTCTAGGCATCGCTCCATCCCAAAGTCTGAGAGCAGAGAACCTAGCTGGCTTAGTCAAGGGGATGCCCAGCCCTTGGCCGTGGGAGGGCGCGGATGGGACAGCATCACTGGGACCACAGGATAGAAAGAGGGGTTATCTGCATCCATGTCCCTGACGATCTCACTTTAGGTGATATTCAACAATGGCCAAAACCTGATTGAGAAAATGCCGAATTATATTATGCAGTGTGTCCGAATGAACCATGACCGGGGACCTCCTAGCCAACAAAACGTAGCTACAGCGCAAGACAGTGCGGTGTCTCCTTACCAGCCCCTCTGAGCTCACTCCCCTCTCCAACACGGAGAGGTGCCAGAAGGTGCTAGAAGCAGCAATGGCTCTTTAGAGCCACAGAGGATACTGAAGACCCTAACTTGGACCGTCCTGTCCCAACGGAATAATAACGAGACGGTCTTTCACAACCACCGCTCTTCCACTTCTTCCCTGGGTCCCTGGACAGGCAGTTCCAGAACCGGTTTGGGGGATGTCTGCACAGATTTTCAACTTACAAACAAGAGTTTCCTGCTGTCCCCGTCTCCAGTTTGCCTTGATGACTGCCCTGGCTATGGAGCGCCGCCAACACCGTCAAGGAACCAGTCAGCAGTCCGCAACAAACAGCAGACAGAGAAGAAACGCCACTCCAAATCCAAACAGCTCCCCCGCTCAGACAGGCTCCCCGGGCCCTGGTAGGAAGCGTCCACACCACAGCACAGAAGTCGCCAACCTGGGTGGTGACTTTGCTGGAAAGTGTTATTTGCAGGAAAATGTGACCAGATATCTGGATAAGCCCTTATGGGCAGTAAAGCAACGAATAGTAACTTGGGGCCCTCGAACAGTGAACATCTTGCCAAACGATACCAAATATGACAGGCCATGACACTGAGCACCAGATATTACCGGCTGGCCTTGACTCATCCCGTGAATCAGCGGGAATGCACCAACTCCCCTCCCCCCGGCCTCGGTCTGCGGTCTGTTCTGGGCCTGCTTGGAAGGGGCAGAGCTGTATTCAAAGGCACCGGGGCAGGAGAGCCTCGGCAAGGCGGGAAGAGCAGGATACTAACACAGGCTTTGCTTCTGCCCCAAAGGTCCGGGCATGAGGTTGGCCCACACGAAGAGGGAAATGGAGAAATGACTCTGCCACCAAGTCCACGGGGACAGGTGGGAGAGTGGGCTCTTTTAGCTGCCACCTTGAGCATCTCATTAGAGCACAGTGGTTCTTACACAGGGGAGGACATCTGTGACATGCTATTTACCTTGAACACGCTGGCCTCCCTGACCCAGCCCGGCGCGAGCAGAGGCGGGAAAGGCTCAGGGTGATGGTCCCCCAAGGAGCCCGACGGCACTCCCCCACCCTCAGCCCTGCTGGAAATCCAGGTGCTTCCCTCGTGTCAATTCTCCAGGGTCCCCGACGGTAAGGCTGTGGTTCCCACTTTACAGATGAGGACGGGGGGCTCCAGGGAAGTGAAGCCAACTGTCTGCACTCAGTGACCTTGTAAGGGACAGAACTTCCACAGCATCGGAAGTCTGACCCCCGAACTTGAGCACGTGAGCCCTGTCACTTCCTTAACTCACCTCTCACCAAAGGACAAGAGACACAGGAGATGGTTGGATCCTGCGTGATGCCTATTACTGTCACAGTGCTGTGTGGAGCAGAGAAAATAGAAGATAGCTATGAGATCTGGGGGGTGGGGAAGAGAGGAGAGTAGGTCGAGCCAGCTGATTCTTGGGCCTCAGTTTCCTCCTCTGTAAAATGGGGATAACGCCACCTTCTTCAGCAAGTGCGGAGACCCAAGGGAAGACCAGCTAGGCAGCAAACTCTCAAGGCTCCCTGGGGCATCTCTAGAGTTACACAAGGCATACAGGTACTGGTGCACATTCCCTGCTAGATCTGTTTGGGCCCCCACGTTATGTGACTTCCCCAAAACCCACAAGTCAATAGACCACTTACCCATTCAAAGAATGTTCACTTTGACTCCAAAGTTCATCCAGCAAGTATACTAGGATGTTCAGAGTTGTAGACTTTCTGCAAATAGGGCCACCCACAATTCCTCCCACCCCGGTACCCACAGGCAGTTCTGCCATAAATCAGTGGAGTCTGTTCCCCACCTCTGAAGTCCGGGCTGACCTTGCACCTTGCTGTGACCAGTAGGACCCAGTGGAAGTGAGGCCCCGCTCTGTCCGAGGCTTAGCAGTTCTGTTTTGGCTCTCTGGGAAGCTAGCCATGGATCAAGAAATTGGACTCCTGTGCTAAAGAGAGAGACTGCATGGCAGGGGGCAGAGACCACGGGGCAAGAGGGTCTAGCAAAGAGAGAGAAAGAAACCAAGCCAGCCCCCAGGTGAGCCACCAGCTTCATCAGTGACCACGGTAAACGCTGTAGAAAGTAGAAGAACCTCCCAGCTGAGCCCTGCCCAAATTCCTGAGCAACAAAATGACTGTCGATTTACACTATGTTGTGGGTAGTTTGTCCATCACAGAGACAGAACCCAAACCATAGTTGTACTGTTTACTGCAGAAAAACTGAAAACCATCTACTAAGAGACACTGGTAAAACATGGGGGTATGCACAAACTTCCATACAAATCAACACTTCTTGATGAGGGGGAGATAGGGTATTAAGTGAAAAGGTGTTATAAAACAGAATGCGTAGCATGTACCCTTCTGGAGAAATACGAAATGCTATAAAAGGGTGAAAAAAAGAAACAGAAAATTTGAGCCACACAACATGCATTAAGAATTGAAACAAATGAAAAGCCTTTCTCACCCCCCCAATTCCCAAATGGCTTTGTACTGTGTTTTTACCAAAATCACCAAATTATCAACAGACAATTCCTGTCTATACAAATTAGTCAAGAAAATGGAGCGGACAAGGTGGGAAAAGCTAGTCCACCATGGCCTCCAACAACGGACAAGGCCAATGTGCATGGACATCTCTATAAAGATATATGAATGGCCAGTGAGCCAATGAAAAGGAAGACCAGCATCGTCAGTCGCCAGGGAAATACAACTCAGAACCACAGTAGGATAGCACTTTGTACCCACCAGGATGGCTAAAACCAAAACAGACAGTAACAAGTGTTGATGAGGATTCACAGTAACTGGGCCGCTCATACACTTCTCATGGGAATGGGAAACGGTGCAGCTGCTTTGGACAACAGTCTGGCAGTTTCCCAAAAGGAGAAACACAGAGCTACCATTTGAGGTGATTTTACTATCCAACGGAAAAATGAAAAATAGATCCACGCAAAATCTTATACACAGATGTTCATAGCATTATTCATAATAGCCCCGAAAAGTGGAAACAACTCAAATATCCATCCATGGATAAATGGATAAACAAAGTATGGTAAACCCACACAACGGGAAATTATTTGGCAGTAAGAAGGAACGAAGCACCGACACCTGCTCCTCCATGGATGAACCCTGAAATCATTATGCCGAGTAAAAGAAAGCAGACCACATATAGTGTGATTCCATTTATATGAAATGTCCAGAGAAGCAAATTTACAGAGACAGAAAGCTTAGTGGTTGCCAGTGGCTGGGAGGGGGCACACGGGGGGAGGGTGGGTGCTAATGGGCACGGAGTTTCCTTCTGGGCTAATGAAAATGTGGAATAGTGGTGATGGCCACATAGCTCGGAATAGACTAAAACCACTGAACTGTACCCTTTACAAGGGTGAATTGTACAGTATGTGGATTATGTCTTAATAAAGCTCTATTTTCTTAAATGGATAAGGCCCACTGAAGCCTAAAATACAGAACATAGAGCCATTATGCTAATAAGATGTGCTCCCCCCTCTGCATGTGTTCATCAATAGCGTCCCAATGCAGCGGCACCTTCTATTTCTGAAAAAAGCAAGATCGACGTGGGACAGCCTATTCCCATGCTCTACCCGATCCGCATTACGACCCCGGGGGAGGGGGCTGGTCTGGCTCTCAGCCCCCTTCCGTGGGTGTGGAGACGTGCCCGCTCATCCAGGCTCACGGAGGGGCCTCTGAGCTGGGACGCAAACGTGGCCTCCGCCTCACCTTCTCCTGCTTCACCTAATGGAAGCAGCAGTAGCAAGACCCCGAAGGTCAACTGCTCCCTCCTGAAACCCAGGTTGCCCTGAAGCCCTGCTCTCTGTGAGGTGTGAACCGCCGGTGACCCCAGCGTCGTGGCACGGAGGGGTGTTAATATTTAACCACCAGCCTGGGAACAGGGTGGTGCTGGGGCCGGCGGCCTCCTGCTCCTGGGGACAACCCTGGAAACCAGCTGAAATCTAACCCACGGAGAAAAGCCAGAGGACCGCACGCCACCACGAGAGCTGCTTTCCAGAGCCTCACAGGCCCCCTTCCCTGGAAACAAGAGCCCAGCTGCACCCCCCCCCCAGTGCCCACTGCCTCATCACTGCAGAGAGCCCCCATCCCACAGCCATGTGGGGACGATGCCTCCTCCCACCTTCTGCCAGCAGGTCCCAGCGATCTGGGGTCTCAAGAGCTGAACGGGGCCTTGGAAATCTACTCCCACGGCTTCAATTTTCAGCTCGGGAGGCCAGACCTTGCGCACGGGCCACTGGTGGCCACATGCGGAGGAGAGCCAATTCTGGGCCTCTGTCTCAGGTGGTATGATGGAAGACACTCTTGCCATCCTAGCCTGAG